GCTATCAGCATAGGTAGGTAGCGGCTTGGCTCTACCCCTGGCATTGCTGAAGTCCATGGGCGACAGTAACCACTCACCATCAGGTAGGCCGTATGTTCGTCTGCCTACAAGGGCAATAAAAAAAAAGGTAGGAAAAAAAGGGAATTTAATCTAATTTCTGGCTACCCTCAATACCACTTCATCGCGGAAGTAAGTTGTGAATAGTACAATGAAACTATTAGCGTTCAATTATCGATTTTAATTCGAATATTTAATAACGTCTCGATGATTCTCGACTTTCCTACAATCACGACTTTCGTTTAGGGCCTGTTGTTTCGTTACTCTAGCAAAACGATTGTGATACTTTAACGCGAAAAAAGTAAACAGAAAAAAGGTTTATATAAACAAAAGAAAATTTGCGGACCGATGCGTTTTGTCACTTTTTTTGTTAATAATCACTGACCTTTTTTAACAATACTGTAGTTGAAACTCTAGAATAACTTATTGATCTTTGAAAGCCTTGAATGCCATTAATTTTTTTTAATTAAGAATTTCTTTAATGTTTCAAACTATCATGATTTGCTGGGGCGGTATTCGGTAGGGAATCTGGTGAGCACACACGGGTAGGTACCATCGCCCTGTCTATTTCTGCCATAAAGCAGTAATGCGTTTCGGTTTGAAGGGCAGCCGTTGTAACTATACTGAGACCTTAAAACTCATATCTCAATGGGCAGTTACGTTGTAGATATTATCTATGGGCTCCAGGGACCACTCAACAACAGGTGGGCCGTGAGCTTGTCCACGCATTTACGCAATAAACCACGCAATAAACATAAGCTTTTTAGGGTTGGCGCGTAAAAAACCAAATATATTTATGACCATATGACATCACGAGTCACTTTATGAAGAGCGGCTACCATCCATACAGAACTAAGCTTCTCGCCGGATGTTCTCAGCGGGTTACAATTCGGTGAAGCTCTGATCTTGCTAAGACATTATTAAGACAAGTATCGTCGTATCGCCTGAATAGCCTTTTGAGGCGACTAGCAAATTATTAGGCAAAAAAGATCATACCTTAAACAAAACGGCGTAAACAATGCTGCTCATTCTTTTTAAATATTAGTACAACCGCTGTTTAAACAAGAGTGCAAGATTAAGAGAGCAGACGGCTCGCAATAAGCCTTATCGAATACTGAGTGCTTAGTGAGAATTTTTTTACTTCTCGATCACGTAAAAGTTAACTCGAATTTGTATGGAGTTGGAACAGCGCCCCTAGCGGCAAACGAAGGGAAGTTGTTCCAACTCCATACAAATTTGAGTTAACTTTTAATGCGTTTCGGTTTGAAGGGTGGGGCAGCCGTTGTAACTATACTGAGACCTGAGAATTTATATCTCAATGTGGGTGGCGCATTAACGTTGTAGATGATTATGGGCTCCAGTAACCGCTTAACACCAGGTAGGCTGTGAGCTCGTCCACGCATCTAAGCAACAAAAAAAAACTTTTACGCGTTCGAGAAGTTAAAAATTCGCACTAAGCATACTTAGGAACTTGGAGGTACAAAATAGGCGTGAAGCGATTGACACCGTGGTAGCTTATCCGTAGCCAGTGATAAATAGACAGTGATACTATTATATTATTATTCGTTTGGTATCCTCTGATCCGTAATATTTTGATAAAGTAGACTAAATTACAAATTCTCCGCTGAATATTCAAACGTTAGGTTTGTATTCAAAGCAATACTGCGATATCTCGATCTCACGTAGCGCGAAGTTCGTGTTTATCTTGTCGATTACTTTGATGAAAGCATAACAGCGTTCGTTCGAGGTCTTACAACGCAAGACGCGAGAGACACATCTCGAGTACATAAATAGGTATACTTGTTTTTTTCGGTTAAAAAAAAATAGTAGGGGATATCTGTTTTTTTGGAACAAAGTTCCTTATGGGACGATGCGGAGGGGCACCCTAACCGAGAAAAACGTCCGTAACGTAAGATTTTTATTATTTATGTATAGTCTTAGTATGATGGCTATACAGTAAGTATAGTCTACGTGATGACGGTTATTATTATTATTATTCAAATAAATAGCTGTTTCTTTGTATATTATTATTATATATATTTTTTTATAAATCATTGTGAATAAAATAAAGTTGATTACTATGTAAAGTAGTTTTTTTTTGTTTTTATCAATAAAAAAATCATAACTTAAATAAAGCTCGAATAGAACATAAAATTAATATTTTTATAATAAGGGACTTCGTTCCTATCCGGTGTCCCACGACACCACACATTGTCATCTTTTTTTTTCAAGTTCAAATATATGGAGTCACGCGATTTAAAATCTTTTTTTCTTTGTATCGTCTATTTTTCCTGTGCATTTCAGGCGATCATATTGCTAGGTTGCCAGTTTATCAGCTACCAAATATCTATAGGTGTTAAAAGAAATACTGCTGCCAATTCTAAAAAACACGACGGATATCTCTATTGAGTTAGTATACCGGCTTTTCCGCCCATCAGAGCGGAACGCAGTTACTCGACTCGTACTAGTAATCAAATACTCTCGACTCTCTTAACCAAAAGCTGTAAGTTCGTGAATTTCACCACATCATTTTCTATGAAGTTCAAGTACGGAAAGCTTACTTCGTTAGTTCCCTTCCGAGGCGTTGCAGTTTTTGAAAGAGCTTCAAACCGCACCTACGGAAGAACACAGTTTTGTATTACAATGCAAAAAGGTAAGCATTTAAACACTCAGAATTCAATTCAATGTTTCTTAGTCATCATCGTCTATGGGCGACTTTGTTGCAATCTTGCGTACTAGTACCCCTAAAAACCATTCTTAATTTTATTCCTAACATACTATTGTGGCCAAACTTATTAAACGATTGCATAGCTTTTATCGCGAGCTTTGAGCGCGGCGACCGAATCAAGAAATTCCGTAACGAAAATAAAACCTAACACCCCCCACTCCGCCTACCATGTACCTTGCGTTCAACACATTCACACGTTGTGCTTGTGTAGTGTTTGTGAATAAGCGCGCGGCATGACGACGCACTGCATGCGCATCATGAAAAGTCTGCCCATCTCTCTCTCTCGCGCAGTCTAGCTTATGAGTGTGAAGGGGACAGTTAATGTTTTGCTTTTGTTAATGTTTATAAATATAGCGTGGTCTTATTTTATTTTTGTTTTAATATTAAATTATTATTGTCTAATTATAATTGCATAAGTTGATAAAAAATGCTATGCAGTAGCTTTACCGCTACAATTTCCGAGTGCCACACGTGTTTTTTATAATTATAAAGATAAAATAATTTCAACGTAACAAAAATCTAGTGAAACAAATAACATACAAAGCTGTAAGATGCGCTCTCATTTTTACAAACATTACTTAGCAAACGTTCAACGTACAAATTTTCAACACCGATGCTTAAAAAGAGACACATTAAAAAAATAAAAACCTTTTACTTTTTGAAGTGAAACTTCCTTATCGGCGTTGGAAAAAAATTTACCGTCACATTTTTCGGTTACGCGTCACATTTTTCCGTTACGCGCCATCTGTTTTGTATTCATGTCTATGATAATAAAATCCTTTTGTTTAAACTTTATCTAATTTAACTTTTTTGTATTCATGTCTATGATAATAAAATCCTTTTGTTTAAACTTTATCTAATTTAACTTTTTTGTATTCATGTCTATGATAATAAAATCCTTTTGTTTAAACTTTATCTAATTTAACTTTATTTAACCAATTTCTAGAAAGTTGCATGTAGATCATTTTTCGAAAAATAAGGCCATAAATAAGTTTCACTTCTTACGTGTGTACACTAGTACACGCACACATTTTTTTATGTCTATGCTACGCCATTAAGCTGCCATTTTGAATATCGCCCGTGCATTATTGCAATAACTCACGAACAACACGTATGGGAACTAAAAATAAAAGCTTAATTTCCTTTAAGGTCGCCATGTGGCGGGACTGCAATCTTTCCATACGTATTTGCTATCGGTGTTGTGGTAGTGCGATATACGAGCTATAAAATTGCGATGTGGCATTTTGTATTCTATTATATTAATTAAACAGATCACTACCTAGTTTAAAACAAAGTCACTTTCTCTGTCCCTATATCCCTATGTATGCTTAAATCATTAAATCTTTAAAACTACGCTACGGATTTTAATGCGGTTTTTTTTTAAATAGATAGGGTGATTGAAGAGGAAGTTTTATATGTATAATAACATCCATTAAATAGTGGAGAAATCAATAATAAATTACAGTTTCCGAAGCGATGCGAGGGTGGGTCGCTAGTATATAATAATTATAAGTAGATATGACGTCACAGATCGTTATGAAAGAAATTCGAGAGTGGACGGACATCCGATCCCCGATCATCTATGTATCTTAAAACATCTTAACGTGGAGCATTTTTTTGTTATAATAATGTCGCTTACCACACTGAGAGATATTGGTCTTATTTATATAGGACCACGCCGATCCCATCCTTCAAATAAAACTTGTATTTTGATCTCTGACTGACTGACTGATTGAATGATTTGATGGTGAGTTGCAATGTCTGCCGTGAAGCAGTAATATGTTTCGGTTTGAAGGGTGGGGCATCCGTTGTAACTATACTTGAGACCTTAGAACTTATATCTCAAGGTGGGTGTCGCATTTACGTCGTAGATGTCTATGGGCTCCAGTAACCACTTAACACCAGGTGGGCTGTGAGCTCATCCACTCACCTAAGCAATAAAAAAAAAATGCTTTTTTGGTACGTTTTATTCATGGTTTCTTTTTGTTCAAGTCACTTGAAATTAGGCGGCCAGTCAATTCGTTTTTCCACCAAAACAAAAAAAAAATGGAATCGTAGAATTTCGAGCGTGCAAGGCTAGTGAAATTAAAGTTAATTATCAAGTCAACTCATTTAGATTGCCTCGTCCAAAATTAAAAATCCGGAATTCAAAATTCATGTTAACATTATAAAGTTCAAACACATTCGCTTTCGCTTCTTTAAAGTTTAGAGCTAGCATTTTCAAACAATCATTTACGTGAGCTTGACGTGCAGCCGATTTGCGAGGTGCAACCCCAAACACCTTTATCGCGTAAGTAATAAGCACTACTATTCCGCCGATGTTGTAAATAAGCATAATTTGATTTGAGTGATGTGTTATAACTGATTTCCGAATCACAGGAAAATGATTGCTGTGACACATTGATTGGGTGTGATTTGTGTCGGTGTCAGAACTGATTTTACTGTCAAGGGTATTGGGGTTCGCAATTTCAATGTATGCTTTACACGCCCATGACAATGACGGAATAGCGTTGTATAGTGATAAGTCCGCAAAATTTATTTAGTGAAATTTTAGCACACACGATTCAATGCAACCAATCTGTCTGTCAATCTGTCAATCTGGTATGAAGTAGCCAGTTCTAAAGATCGTTTATATACAATCGAATTTCCGACCTCACGTCTCAATACGAGTGATGGCGTTTACGTTATGATGTCCATGGTCTCCTATAACCACAACCAGGCACACTATAAACTCGTATGTCTAATTAAATTAATAAAATACTAGAACTGTAGCCAGTTATAGGAAGGAGATTGTTAAAAAAGATTCAATAAATAAAAATAACTATTTTATTGACACATAGAAGCAATAAAGTAAACTACATAGTAAATGGGTTTGATACTTCGTGGTAAAAATGAATAAGATGTTAAATTACTTTTGATTATTTTTTGTTTTATAGAAATCAAAGAAATGCATCATTCGCCCAGTGATAGCGTTTCTTCTATTTTTGAAGGTAAATCTCAGTGTCCATTGCCTCTTAAGTACATTTTGTTGACGGTATATCTTGCTGTACAATGCTTCTTATATTATTTTTTTCATGGCTCACCTTTATGAAACGCGTCATCAAGTTATCAGTTGTAGGAAGCATATATTTTTCTACATATTTGGTCTACCTGATAGGGAATGGTCACCGTTGCTCTTGTAAACATCAAATATAAGATACTTTTTGATCATATTATATTTACAATAAACGACTTTTACGATAAAGGAATAATGTTATTACATAAAATTAAAAATCCGATATTCGTGACTATCTGGATACTAGGTACGTGGTACTAGGTACGCGGTACTAGGTACGCGGTACTAGGTACGCGGTACTAGGTACGCGGTACTAGGTACGCGGTACTAGGTACGCGGTACTAGGTACGCGGTACTAGGTACGCGGTACTAGGTACGCGGTACTAGGTACGCGGTACTAGGTACGCGGTACTAGGTACGCGGTACTAGGTACGCGGTACTAGGTACGCGGTACATGGTACATGGTACATGGTACCAGTACTGGTAGTACGTATAGTAATCCCGCGAGGTCATTTCAATTTTGTGTCATTTAGCTTGACAAACTGCTATCCGATTAGATACTTGAGAATATTATTTGCAAATAACAGTACCACATATTGAGATGTGTACTTATCAACTCACCTTTCCTACCCTACCTACATGATAGCTTTATTTAAGCAAACCCACTGTGAAACTCTGGCAATCTTCAAAAGCTAGTAAATTGAAACATCGCATGGATGAAGTAAATGACCCTATCAAAGTCGTAGATTCGATACAGTTCTATTGAACTATTGCTTGTTTTGTAGATTTGATTCAACTAGGGCTGATACTTCAGACTTTTATTTTTACTTTGCCTTAAATTATTATTTAGGATTATTTTCACGTCAGAAATTGTTTATATGTTAATTTTATGATCTAATATTATAATTTTTAAAGTTTCCTTGTCAGGATCATTCTTAGCAGCGTATTTTCAAAAAGCACACACTATTTGTAGACACGAATAATTTTACCACCAAGTCCCAATCTACAGCTCAGTAGAAGCTATCACATAATATAAGAAGTCCAACAAAAACCTGGACCGCGGTAAAAACATTTTCATGACAGTCTGTATTGAGAGGTTTAGAGAGGAGGCTATTTGGTTTAAGCGCGATTTCGCTTAATACGCGACATCTATCTTTGTAATTAAAGGTGCCTTTTATTTGGTATTTGGCTTCGGAAACTGTAATTTACTATTGATTTCTCCACTATTTAATGGATGTTATTATACATATAAACCTTCCTCTTTAATCACTCTATCTATTAAAAAAAACCGCATCAAAATCCGTTGCGTAGCTTTAAAGATTTAAGCATACATAGGGACAGAGAAAGCGACTTTGTTTTATACTATGTAGTGATAAACATTAACAGTTCGATATTTTTTAGTTGAACTTGAATTAAGTTTACTCCATTGAAATGGCTGAACAAGTTTTTTGTTATGATTTCTTTTCCAAATTNTAATCACTCTATCTATTAAAAAAAACCGCATCAAAATCCGTTGCGTAGCTTTAAAGATTTAAGCATACATAGGGACAGAGAAAGCGACTTTGTTTTATACTATGTAGTGATAAACATTAACAGTTCGATATTTTTTAGTTGAACTTGAATTAAGTTTACTCCATTGAAATGGCTGAACAAGTTTTTTGTTATGATTTCTTTTCCAAATTTTAAACTTTAAATGACTCTCCTGTAGAGTTGCAAAGATGTCGCTTAAACCAAATTGAGCCTTTCACCCCTCGATATATCTATACTAATATATAAATCTACAGTGGTTTTTATGGATGTTCCGTTATAACTACTGAACCATGCATCCGATTGACTTGAAACTTGGTATACATGTAGAAAATACATCTATTTAATGGATAGGCTAATATTTATATGAGTGTTGGACTCCCTACACCAGTTGCGGGGGCATTAATGATGAGAATTTTTGTGGGGGTGAGAAATAATAATGTTAATTTTAAATGCCCAGCGAAGCGGACGGGTACAGCTAGTATATGTATATAATTATTATTTGTTAACTATCGGTCACACACAAGCCTATAGTTTCCAAAATTTAATAACAAAAAACCTTTTGTGTGGTACTTCATAGATTCACACATATGGGTCTTAAGCAATTCAAGCCCATACAAAGTTATTACAATATTATAACTATACAGATATAAGTACCTAACATTTGAACCGTTGGTCTATTGAGCAGAAACACCTTTTGAGAAAAAACATTCATCTTGCCTCTTCTTCTATTTTCAAATTTGAATTTTTAGCTGTATTTCATGGTGATATGAATGAAAAATTGCACAACATTGAGAGATGTTTGTCTATAGTAAAATAATCCATTACTTAAGATGTTCATTATTACCCTTCTTGCGCATATCGTGTTCGTTTGATGCAAGCTAAAATTTAATTTAAATTTTCAAATACAATTTTATCATACAAAGTGTCAACCCTACGCAAAATGTGAATAGGAAGTTATGGACACGAGCAATTCACACCCGGTTTTGTGTGCAGTGACAGTCACGCCCGGTTCTGCACGGAGTAGTAACAGTCACGCCCGGTTTTGCAAAGTGCAGAGCCGGTTATTCTTAGAAGTGGTTTTGTAAGTTGCTTCCTGAGCTTTAGAATTCGTATGTGATGCATATTAAAGAAAAAGTAATTTGCATCTTTGAGATTACGATAGTAAGCTAAGTAAGATTAATTCGTTATATTTTTGCTTATGACATTCCTGGTTGGACGTGTTGTGAGGTTGCATATAGGAGAGCTGCCCAATATAATTAAAATACTAACCTCTAATCTAATATATAAAAAATAATTGAAAAAAATTAAATTCAATTAAAAAATAAATAATAGTTTAAAAAAACAAACAAAATACGCTTTTATAGAAAATCCAACTAAAAAATAGAAAATAAATTTTAATAAATTTGAATTAAAAATAGTGTAAGAAAAAATGATTTTATTGTAAAAAAGCGTGGGGTGCTTTTCAGAATATTATCAAAATAACCCTTCTACTCATATCTGTTCATAAAATATTTATAACTACTGATACCATGCCTTTGTGCTTCGTTGACGGGCATTCCTGGCTTCTGAGTCATGTGATCAGACCACCGAGTTGAGCTTCGGCTTCTAGGCCTTTTCCCTCCTAGCTTGCTAGTAAAGATGAGCTTTCCAGGTAATCAGGGCTTTTGCGGAAATCTTGCATAGCACGAAGTAGGCATACGGTTGACTATCTAGACTATCTATATCATTTGTCACTCTCGAGAGCTCTCTTAAAACTGATGCATTTGTTCAAAACGATTCTTTATATAGTATTGAAACGGTTTGTTCACATGGGTAGTTTGTACGTCATTTGATAATTTGGGCGCATAAATAATAATAATTTCTTTAGACATACTGTTAGTTTTTTTTCTGTGCGAAAAGAAACGTAAATATCAAGATTTATTTTTTTATAAATAAAATGACGGTAGTTAGCACAACATTGAACATGACCATGAAAAGTCTAAAATAAAATAAAGTATTCGAAATATCGGAAATAATAAACGCGAAATTAAACCGTAAAGACAGTTTTATTATTATTATTATCTTTACCGACAAATTCATGTTTTACCTAATTGTGCTTGCGGCCTAACTTAAGACAAAAAGTAAAATTTCTAATGTAGGTTTATACTGGTGTTTCACTATTCAGGCCTATACACACGAATATTTCGCGCAAAAAAAGTTATCATAGAATAGTTATCGAGATATACCCAGTAGACTAGTAATACTGGGTGTATGATACCACCATGTAATGTATAATAATATAATATAAATGTAATATGTCATATTTCTCGTAAATACGATAAGTCATCGAAAAAATCATTCATAAGCTTTCATCGTGTGTATTATCGAAATTTTATCCTTAATATAATTACAAGTAAAGCTCACATTTCTTTACACATCTTAGTTCTTTCCGTGTAACCTTGTTAGGAGGTTCAATTTACGACGGAACAAGGCCCAAACTCACTTCCCTCGTTACAAGTACACTTTGGGTCGTCGTTATCGGACTCTGGACTTCACTGTGTTCAAAAGAAACATAGTAAATGATATTTTCTTGCTAAACAAATTTTATAAGTCAAAAGAGTAAGAAGTAAAATCTCTATGTATACTTGTGCGACCCATAAATTTAACTGATACGGCAACAAACTTCGTTGATCGTAGTGTGTTTTCTAACAGGTACATGTAAAAAAAAGCCTATTTAGAAATACAAATTCAATTATAATAAATAAATAAATAAATAAATATTTAATATATATATATTTAATATCACAGTAACATTAATTATGTAAATGAATAGTGAATAAGTGAATAGTTCTGTCCGTAATGTTAATCCAACTTTTTCTTTTTTAACGTACAGTTATAAGATCTAATGTGTAATAATATGTAAGATACAAACTGTAAAAAAACTGTTAAAAACTGTTAAAACTTTAAAAAAAACACACTTAGTAATAATATAATAATAATAGTAACTGGGAACAAATCGCACTGTCATCCGGCCCCAATTTATGATTCCCTGTGTAATGTGCACCAGAGACTGATAAATATATTTATGTATGTTTAATATAATAATAAATATATTTATGTATTCATCACACAATGTTTGCCCGAGGTGAGAATCGAACTTACGACTTTCGGTGCCACAGTCCGGGTCGCTAAGTACTGCACCACCGAGTGACTTAGACAAATGTAAGTGACTCTGTTTTGGAGTCTCAGAAATATGGACAAAATCTACGACGCTGCCTTTTTCCGCGGATTAAAATAAAATGTTGTTACCTTGTTTTTCTTTACGTCAATCCTGAAATGGAAAACATATTTTATTTAAGTTCATTTTATTTATTTTGCAGCTGTGTGAGCTAGTGAAATTTTAAATTTTTACTCATAAAATCATGAGCATAATTTCAATCTTACTTATTTCTTTGTAAAATTATTTGAAAGAGCGTCTGCCGGCCTTACGCATTTAAGAAACTCAACTTCATTTTATTTCTTTGAACACAGAGCAAATCAACAGTTTGTATCTAAAGGTCTAGCTGTCTGTTCAATTTGGGATTTATCTTAAAGGATAGATGACTATTAAGTTGAAAAATACCTCTAAGCAATAAATTAATCTAGATGATTTGGAAAGAAAAATATGTTTTTTTAACGAATAACGGGATTTTGGAACCAAATTCCTTATGGGACGATGCGGAGGGGTATCCTAACCGGGAAAAAACGTCCGTAACGTAAGATTTTTATTAGTAATGCACACAGTGTACGACTTAACTTTGTAAAAACGTATAAATTAGTACATAATACACACAGTGTACGACTTAACTTTGTAATAACGTATAAAAATAACATATTTTTATATCATTCATTGACCACGAACGATCTCAGAGCGTTCGTTTGCGCAATACACTAACTCTTATGCAAACAACCGTGAATGGAGTGTACCACAATAAGTTCGCACGTTACCGAATGACCGTGGGTTGATGCGAAACCTCCAGTTTTATTTTCTTTATACCTCCAATAGAACTTAAAATTATTATTTTTTATAATAAAGAACTTCGTTCCTATCCGGTGTCCCAGGATACCACACATATTTTTTTTGCCTTTAACGTTCTTCGTTGATGAACGAGTTCGCGTCTGGTATTACCATCACAAGTATTAACAACAAGTAAAAACCACCACCCGTCTCGAGATATAAGTGTTATAGTACAACGGTTGCCCCACTCCTCAAACCAGAACGCAACGACAGCTTCGCGGCAGAAACAGTCAGAGTTGTGGTACCTACCTATGCGGGCTCACAAGACGTCCTACCACCAGATTGAAAATTTGTTCTCTGCCTTTAAACATTTAGTCCTCGAAAAATATTAAAATTATTTGAATAATAGTCTCCTTGTGTATTGTTTAACAAAAATGAATGTCATGCCAAAAAAAAGTTTTTTAGGTACTTCCCAGGAAGAAGTTTACGGTGAGTCGAGATATAGCGTATCTACAAAAGTGCTATTAAATTATAATATTAAGTCGTACTGTAATTAGTTTATATCCAAATACAAACGATTATGGATAATATTTGTTCTATCATTAGGTCTATTTTTAATGCAAATAAAACAAAAAACTATTTCTTGCTCATGAGTCCCGTTTACTCAACAAAAAGACCACAAAACGGTGCAAAAGGATGAAATTCGCACCTCGTAAAATACGAACAAATCAAATTAGATCATAACCGCTTCACATTTTATCCCGAACTTTACTGGCGCAAGGTTTTCTTGAGTCCTTCCTAATTGGAAGGTATTGTGACCCCAACAATGGGTCACTAAGGGGATTGTACGGGTACCGTATGATGGCAAGGATTTGTCAAAACATGGGGTATCTTTGTAGGACCTTAGGGGATATGTTTGTAACGTTTCATTGGTACTAACTTAATTAGAGCAGAAGTTCTAGGGGATTGGCTGTGATTGTTATAAACGATACATCTGTGTTTATTGTAATTTAGAATTGTAAAAAAAATTGGTATGGAATATAAGTGTAGATGCCATGCAAATATGGTTTGGAGTAAAATAGCTTTTGCCTTTTTTATGTATTTGTGACCTTATCAAGATTAGAATAAAATGCTTTTAGAGTATTTTTAGGATCTTACCGTCATCTTCAAACACCATTTGATTTAACACGGTCCATGGTATTTTACATTTGTAGTCATACTGGCCTAAAGGACGACGTCTGGTCGTAGAAAGACGTCTGGTCGTATTTAGCGATGCAAAGGTGTTCGAATCCCGCAGACGGGTACCAATTTTTCTAATGAAATATTGTACGTACTTAACAAATGTTCACGATTGACTTCCACGGTGAAGGAATAACATCGTGTAATAAAAATCAAACCCGCAAAATTATAATTTGCGTAACTACTGGTGGTAGGACCTCTTGTGAGTCCGCACGGTTAGGTACCACCGTGAAGCAGTGATGTATTTCGGTTTGAAGGGTGGGGCAGCCGTTGTTACTGTACTTATATCTCAAGGTGATTATTACTGACTAATTAGAACTTATATCTCAAGGTGGGTGACGCATTTACGTTGTACTTGTCTATGGCCTCCTGTAACCAATTAACACGAGGCGGGCTGTGAGCATGTCCACCCATGTAAGCAATAAAAAAAATCCTTGACCAACAGTAACACTTCATGTCGGATTATGCCCGTCTAAAATTTCATTAAAATATTGAAGTTACTAAATTTTGTATCGTTATCATTAGCCTATAGCAGTCCATTGCTGGACATAGGCCCTCCAATTCCACGGCACTAAGCATGGTCCTCAGTATAGAATATGCATATCTAAGCAAAATTTTATCTTTGCAGAAAGAGTGCTGTATGCAAGGAACAAGCTGCTAAATGGGGCCAAGCCTGCGGTGGTTGGAGGAACGCCGATAACCGAGGAGTTGGCATCGGTAGGCAAACTTTGAAACCACATTTTGAAACTGGTATAGTTATAAATAGGACATTGTACATCGAAATTTTTCGGGTTTACAAAAACCACCTAAGGTGCCAACATATGGCATCGTAAAATAAATCCATCAGTTCCAAGTCGCCTGATGAGGTTATAGGATGAGCGTTGTTCGTACCGAGCTGGGATTAGTCTACGATATACGTCGAAGAGATGACAATTACTACAAATAGACAAGTTTTTTGGGTTAATGCCATACTGACCAAGCTTAACTGGTGGTAGGACCTGTTGTGAGTCCGCACGAGTAGGTACTACCACCCTGCCTATTTTCTGCCGTGAAGCATTATTGCGTTTCAGTTTGAAGGGTGGAGCAGCCGTTGTAACTATAATTAAGACCTTTATAACTTATATTTAAAGGTGTGTGGCGCATTTACGTTGTATATGTCTATAGGCTCCAGTAACCACTTAATACCAGGTGGGCTGTGAGCTCGTCCATACATGTAAGCAATAAAAAAAAGGGTGCGTGTACTTATGTACGCGCGTAAGAAGTTATACTTTATTTTTATTAAATTTATTTCTTATTTTTTTTTAAATATTAAATAATTAATAATAAATATTTAAAGTTAATAATTTAATAATACTTAGTATGAATTATATTAAATAATAATTTTGTCATTTATATTACTAAAAAACGAATGCTAATAACACTTTTTTTACGAGTGTACATGCGCGAAAGTTCACCTGCGGCTATATTCAGACTCGCCAAGCTACGTCGGTCGTATGGTAATGAGCGATTTAGTAGGCAACTTCATTCTGTTTAATTTTGTGTCACGGTGCGCGCGCATCGTAAAATTGCACTCTCATCAATTTTTCATAACGCGCCTTAAGAAGTATAACTTCAAAAAAAAGCTTTATTCAAAGAGGCTTTAACAACCTTTGCAGGAGCTTCGTATAACCGCTTTCGGCACTGCTTCCTGTCCAACGCGAGCCGAATGGATCTGCAGTCCGTTGATGATGAGAACGCCTGACCAGCCCTTGAGCTATGGCCTGGCTGCTCCCAGGAACGGGACGCGATCCTTATTGTCCGGACTTCAGGCTCACATCATCAAATGGCTCCTCTTTGACTCCAGGCCTATAACTAAGGATAATAAATCCGGAGTTCCTCCTGAAACGTGAGTAATCACTACATAGTATGAAACAAAATCGCTTTCTCTGGCCCTATATCCTGTCCCTATGTATGCTTAAATCTTTAAAACTACGCAACGGATTTTGATGCGTTTTTTTTTAATAGATAGAGTGGTTGAAGAGAAAGGTTTATATGTATAACATCTATTAAATAGTGGAGAAATCAATAATAAATTACAGTTTCCGAAGCGAAGCGAGGGCGGGTCGCTATTATAGTATATAGTCTATTGGTAGATCTTAATGATAATGGTCTGCCCTTTAATAAATCGCGATTCTACCAGCGACCTCCACTGTTGGGTACACATGCACCTGATTATAATACGTCAGGTAAACAGCATCCTTCGCTTGGTATTGTCTTAAAGTTTAAGGACCAAATTAAACTGTTCTAATTTTTAAAATATCTTAAATAATAATCCTCAACATTTCAAGTGAGACTGATCGCAAGCGAAATCAATGAAGACTCGTGTAATAAAAATCAAACCCGCAAAATTATAATTTGCGTAATTACTGGTGGTAGGACCTCTTGTGAGTCCGCGCGGATAGGTACCACCGCCCTGCTTATTNAAAAAAAAAAAAAAAAAAAAGACTGTATATAAAAATGTTGTACCCTTATAAGCTTAAAATAGGGCGCGTAAGCATGTCCTCCAGTACAAGCCAATCTTCCACTAAATTAAATCATGCTGTTGAAAGACAAATACAAGTCTAAAGTACTTATAACTCTAACATTTCATATTTACAATGTAAGTGAAGAGTTTAACATTTAGTGCGTTTGATATTGTGGAGATGCTCAGACGAGAGAAAACAAACCTTTTATTAATATAATATATTATTTATTTAACTGGACATTACTGGTTTTACTGTTTTATATTTTCTTAGAGATCATAGTGTTATGACGCTACTCTTGTATATCCTTTTTTTATACTAGTGTCGTGTTACAGCTCACACTTCTTAATAGGGATGTACCCACTAACAGATATGAAGTCACTATAAATGTGGTTATAGAGTGCGCACACACATCTCATCTATTTCATCCATAAATCCGTGACGGTTCTTAAGTTTTAACGCAATAAAATTAAGGCTTGCTGTTGGATAAGGCATTTTTTTATTGCTCTTGTAGGCAGACGAGCATACGGCCCACCTGATGGTGAGTGGTTACCGTCGCCCATGGACTTCAGCAATGCCAGAGGCAGAGCTAAGCCGCTGCCTACCGCTAATTATAGATTTCATTGCATCAAACACCTGAACCTTAAATACCTCCAAGATCGATTTACATTTTGGTCATGCTACGTTCGTAGGCTTCGGTACGTAACAATATTGTTACGCCGGTAAGAGTAACGCCATCTATCGCCAAATAGTCGAACGAATATCGAAGGATCCAGAATGCTCGAGGATTATAACGCTATCTATTGATAGATAGCGGAAACTACGACTAGAGTTGTGTGGAACATTCTCGATAATTCTAGGGATGAGGTATCGACTATAAAAGCGTTGTAGGGATGGCACGCGGTCAGTCAGTAATTGGAACTACGAAGCGAAACAGCGAACGGATCACCCGAAGCGAAGCGGAACAAGCGAATTGAGAGTTTTAAAGTGTTTGTTGAGTGTTTTAAAGTGTTTGTTGAGTGTTTTAAAGTGTTTGTGAAGTGTTTAAGCGTTTTAAGTGTTGAATACAGTTTTTAAGTTGTACTTTGGTGAAATTTTATTTATCCCGAACCCCAGCACGTAACAGTATCAATACAGCATTGAAAGAGATAATATTTTATTTCCTTTGATATAAAAATATCAGTAGTCGAGAACAATGTTCCAAACGCTACAGGCGCATCGTGATACCGGATATGCGAACAAAATTGCAGGGAATCCGGTGAAATAAAGTTGCGAAAGTGGAAATTTTCGAACTAGCCTCGTGTAGGAGAGAAGTAGTTTTCGAGGTATTAATGTCGTTGCAAAATATAAGTTCGTTGTTGGGGATTGGTTAAATATATCAAATAGATAACATGAAGTACTAGTACTAGTAAATAGAATGTAAGTAAGTGAATAAGACGCATGTTGTATGCTATCGAAGGATGCGTCTGTGTAGTTCATAAATGCCCATGGATTTTTTTATGTAATTTTTATATAAAGCTTTGATTTCTTTTTATCTGTAATATGGGTGGCCGAGCTCACAGCCCGCATGGTGTTAAGTGGTTACCGGAGCCCATAGACATCTACAACGTAAAGGCCGCCATCCACCTTGAGATATAAGCTCTACCCATGCTGGTACTTACTAGTGGTAGGACCTCTTCTGAGTCCGTACGCGTACGAGTAGTAGGTACCACCACCCCGCCTACTTCTGCCGTGAAGCAGTAATGCTACACTGAGACCTTAGAACTTATATTTCAAGATTGGTGGCGCATTTACGTTGTAGATGTCTATGGGCTCCAGTAACCACTTAATATCAGGTGGGCTGTGAGCTCATCCACCCATCTAAGCGATAAAAAAAGAAGAAGAATGATTGTTTGCGTTTGTTTGTGTGCAGCGGAATCTTTGAACGTTATTCCCATAAACTTCAGGATCTAATATCTGATATATCTGATCTTTTGTTTTTAAAGTTATTTGCAGTTTCTATTTATTTTACTTTATTGAAGTTTATTTACAATATCTATATCGTTAAACTGGTTTTAATTATTGCATTCGCGAAGCAACTGCTCCTGAGTTGTTAGGTCTCCTTCGGAGGCGCTCGGGCGGCTGTTAGAAAATCTTTTTTTTTTAACGCTGGGGATTCCATTTACGGATACCCGGTCGAGGGAGTTAAGAGACCGGGTTATGTCGGACTCCGGCGCCTCCAGAGAAGAACAGGGAGAAGAAGAAGACAGGGGTCCTCCTCTTCTCCCAATTCCTGCCGGGAGACTACGCCTTGAGAAAGGCGCGCGAGGCACTGCACGGCGTCAGCCACGCAAGAGCTACCCCCGCAAAACCGACTACCGACTAAACCCCATCGAGCCTCACCACTCCGACTCCACAAAACCCACGGTACCGCACAGTGCGCGCCAAAGGCTCGCCGTCGCCGGTATCCATCCTGATAATAGGACGGCACTCCATCCCCGGGAGAATCCCGCAGGACGTCGTCTCGGAGACACACCGTGAGCGGTGCACAGGAGCCATCTTGCGCCACCTCATAATAAGTATACCAACCACATTTCGAGTTAATCCGACGTTTTGAAGGGAGTCAAAATCATGTTCAAAGATTCCGTTACATTTATTTATTTATTTGGGAAACAAACAGTACAATACAAACATATAATATTTAAAAAAATATAGCTAAAACAATAACCAAAAATGTTTCCACAATCAAAATCACATATAAGTAGACAGTGAACAAGAAGAGAAATTTAGAAATTTAAATTACAAAAAAAACAAAAGCAACACAATACGCACATATTATTTTATACATCAACTATACTACTTATCGGGCTAAATCACCTTATAAAAGTTTTAAAATAGCTTTTCTATATGTTACAAGTGACAAGCAAAAGATGTCAGCATTAGAGAACTTAGCATCATAAAACCTACAAGATCTACGAACAAAAGAGTTAGAAGCATATTTCGTTCGAGCCGTGGACATGTGGAAAGTCTGTTTAGAACGCGCGGAAATACGACTACAATTAAATGACTACATTTACATACTAACAAACATACGTTTGAAGCTAATAAAAGCATATTAAAAATACAATTTCCCCTATATATATACCATATTCCCTCGTCATGCTCTCGCATAAACCCTCCATAAATGCACAAACAATATATCACGCAAACTTCAACACACACGGTCTTGTAATGTTTATTTTAGCCGGATCGATGTATACTGCTATCGCACCGGCTGGTTTACCTTAGCATTTGATTTATAGCATTTTTAAAAATATTTAGTTTTGGAACGGTTCAAAACTTTAGGCTAAAGACAGCGGTAACAATGTCACATTCACCAGGTTTTTCTGTATGTGCGATAGGAGTTTTTTTTTTCTTTCCTACCTATAGTGATAGCCTTGAGAGGCTATTTCAGCTTCACCCTAACGTTTGTAGATGAGCTCACGGGCCTCAAGCTGGAGAGTTGGTAACAATGACCCTAGCATGAGCAGTGCTTCGCAGAATCTACCACCGGATCGGGAACGCGACCCACTGAGAAGATCCGGCGAGAAACTCAGTGGGTTAGTTCGCTCGTCGAGCCCTTCGTCGCAAGCTACGGGTTCGACGAGGACGGTGACCGGTGCTTGTGGTGCCTAAAAGCACCGTTAATGGATCAGGAGGATCCGTAATGATGTGCTTTGGCGACGTTGATGGTTTACCATTCGGTCTACTGGGTCGGGTATGTAGTTTCCAGCGGCTACGATGAGAGGGTTCTTATGTCGTGCCGCCTTCTCAAAATGGCGCAGCGTAGCGATAGGAGTGATATTCCTGCTGTACTTCTTTAGTACTTTGTATCATTCTTCAATCATTTACTCAAGCTGATTGTCCTTATATTTGTATTCGCATGCTTGATGTAAATTTGAAAATAAGTTTGCAGCAAATATGTACGAGCCTGTAGTAAAAACAAGCGCGAGACGTGTGGATGAACCTTAATTTACGTTAATATACAATATTGTTATAAATTAATATACTTATGGTTTGTTATTTACTTTTCGTATTAGCGGGTTGCAGTCAAAATGAATAAGTCAAACAAACCAGTTTATAATCATTTATAATGTTTTTGTAGTGGACAGTGTTATTATTAAATATCTTAACAAGAAACGGAAAAAACGAAGCTTGGCACTAGACAATATAAATATTGTTAATATTACATACGAAGATATTATTTTTATGTTAAGCTAATTATCGGCACGCTTATCTTATTGATTGATGTCAGTGTAATTAGTGCGATTATTTTAACGTTCTCGATAGCGTAAAAGTTAACTTTTGCGGTATCGAGAACGTTAAAAAGCTCACACTAACCACACGGGCGACATCTACGTGTTCGGGAATTCCGATGGCACCCGATGACCCCCGAGTGCTACTTAGATGTGCCAGTGCTGAATGCTACATACCATATTTATTTATTCACCATCGAATATTTAAAAAAAAAACGTTAACAATTACTCTGGCATTATCCGTTGTGGACTTATAAGTTGAAAAAAATTCAAAGGAATTTATCTATGTATTTTTACACTTCCAGCTACCTACGGCCTTCAGAAGACCGGCAAGAAGAAGCGCTCTGGCGTGCCTGCAGTGAGGTCCTCTGGCGCTGTGCTGGAGGCTTCAACCACCAAACCAGCTCAGAGCCCTTAGCAAAGGTCGCCTTGCCAAGCGAGAACGTGTATGTTCAACATAACTCTCGCTACTATCAAGATGGGGTTACTGAAAAGGTTTACATCTATATATTAATACGTGAAGCAAAAACTTTGTATCCCTTTTTACGAAAATTGCGCGGACGGAGGAGTATGAAATTTTCCACACTTATACAGAATATAGAGAAGAAGTGCACAATGCTTATATTTTTTTAAAATAATGCGTAAAAGATACATTAAATCAATAAAGAATACATTACACACACTACATACCATGTATTGGACGCACACACGCATGCATACTATTTACTGTCAAACTTTTGTTCTTGACGTCTGTTGTCAAATTGAGAATAATTAAATATTGTTTATTTGTTAATATTTCTTTGTTAATACTTTTTATAGTGTAGTCTTTGCGAAATTTGTGATTATAAAAGTATAAAGTACAATCATAATAGTGTATAAACTTACAATTCCAATTAATTATAGTCGAATTTCGACTACTGCGGGACCTCTAGTATTTTTTATTGCTCTAGATTTTTAAGTAATATTACGGCCCACTTGGAGTTTGGTGGCTATCAGATCCTATACCAATCAGAAAGCCATAACTCTTGAGATCTAGTGTATTGTGAAACGGGCTGTCTCGAACTTTAAGATCGTATGACTCGTTTACTTTTATTAGTTTATTACTTAGATGGGTGGACGAACTCACGGCCCACCTGGTTTTAAGTGGTTACCGAAGCTCATAGACATCTAAAAAGTAATTGCCACCACCCACCTTGAGATATCAGGCTATGGTCTCAGTAGAAAGGCTGCCAAACCCTTCAAACCGAAACGAATTACTGCTTCGCGGCAGAAATTGGCAGGGTGGTACTTACCTGTGCGGACACATAAGACCTCCTACCACCAGTAATTACGCAAATTATAATTTTGGCTGGTTTGATTTTTATTACACGATGTTATTCTTTCACCGTGGAAGTCAATCATTTGTTAAGTACGTATTTTATTAGAAAAATTAGTACTTGCCGGCGGGATTTGAACACCGGTGCATCGCTAGATACAAAAGCACCGGACGTGGCCTTTAGGCCACGGCGACTTCAAAACTTCCTGATGAACTCGTGCGGGTCCATACTCTATAGTACTAAACGACCAGTACTAAAAGGTCCTACGATAATGGTGCGAATAATTATTTTCTTCGTTACACAAGCTACATATCTTCGAACTCAAATCACTGGAGGATCTTCAGATATTTTTGAAGCAATATCTTTACTTGGTGAGTAAATAAAATAGATAATAGGTCAATAAATTGATCAAATAAAATAGATGAATAAAAAAATTACAACACCTAAAAACCGATCCGTACTATTCGCTTCGGCGTTTTCAATGCTTGGGGTCGTGACCCAAGGATTGAAGTCGTTATGGCTTATAGGATAAGACGTCGAAGATGTTCGAATCCCAGGCGGGTACCAATTTTTCTAATGAAATACGTACTTAACAAATGTTCACTATTGACTTCCACGGTGAAAGAATAACATCGTATAATAAAAATTAAACCCGCAAAATTATAATTTGCGTAATTACTGGTGGTAGGACGTCTTGTGAGTCCGCGCGGGTAGGTACCAACGCCCTGCCTATTTCTGCCGTGAGACAGTAACGCGTTTCGGTTTGAAGAGTGGGGCAGCTGTTGTAGCTATACTTGAGACCTTAGAACTTATATCTCAAGGTGGGTGGCGCATTTAAGTCGTAGATGTAGATGTCTAAGGGTTCCCGTAACCACTTAAGGCCAGGTGGGCTGTGAGCTCGTCCATCCACCTAAGCAAAAAAGAAAAAAAAAAGGCCACCGAAGATACTGTCGAGACTAGACATAAATTGTGGTGTCGAGGGTACTGGTGGATTCGGTCAGTCCAAATACATACTATACATAATCGTCGCTTGAAAGGCAAACGTGACTAAGCGACAATAACTGCTTTGTACATAAATGATAGGCAATAACCATATTCGATGCGCAAAAAATATATATTTCGAGGTCTATTAAAATCATTTCAATCCTACAGCTACTAGCTAGATTCTACTACAGCTAGATTCGTTAAAATAAATTTTGTTTTCAGGTATTTCAACTTTAAATTAGTCTACTGTAAAGTTCACGCATTGTCGCTTAGTCACGTTTGCCTTTCAAGCGTCGATATTATTATGTACTAAATTATATCAATTTATATTTTATTTTTGAACAGTTTCAAAGTCAAGAATGTCCAGGCGCTATGCTCGTTTTGTACTCGCTGATGCTGACGAGAGGCTGCGAAAAGTGAGTTCCTATAGAGCATTAATTTTTATGTATATGTCAAAACACTGACTATGCTCGAAACCAATCTGTAATGTAACTAATCTGTGGGGACGGGTTGCGAATTGGCCTGGCGTTCGCGACTTGACATCTGTCACTTCTGCTTGCTTCTCGAACGAGACGGTACCCTCATATGTGACGGTCTTCGCTACGGTTTTCCATTATCACTATTCCTTATCCATCCCCGCCCTAAAGCCTTATCCCTAAGTGATACGGCGTAAGTCGACGAGGTCATCGGTTTTGTGTGAGTGATTAGACAATATTTTGTTAAAAAAGTACATACGGTGCTGCGGATCGCGGCACGTGTTCGACAGGCACCTCGTGCTGGTTTCCGGAGCCCGAGGCTGCGACGAGGGCGCTAACTTCAGCTTCATTAAAAGGCTTACAGCAGGCACGCTCTACTGCTAGATCGCCTAGATTATTAAGTCACGATATCCAGATCCAACTCCCGGTCGGACACTGAGTGATCTTGCTTTAATTTCGTATTTTTGGATCGATTTGAAGGATGGGGCAGCCGTGGTAACTATACTGAGATCTTAAAACTTATATCTCAAGGTGGATGGCGCATTTACGTTGTAGATGTTTATGGGCTCCAGTAACCACTTAATACCAGGTGGGCTGTGAGCTCGTCCACCCATCTAAGGAATAAAAAAAACTTCCGAATCAACAATGCACGTTGTTGAATTAAGTTAATTAATTAATTATTAAGTTTTGAAGTTGATATAAATAAATCAGTAGACTATAGTGAAATTCAAGCAAAAACGTCGTGCCGAAATAGCTCAGTTGGGAGAGCGTTAGACTGAAGATCTAAAGGTCCCTGGTTCGATCCCTGGTTTCGGCAGTGTTTTTTACTTGTTTTTTTAAAATAATTGTTTGATTCCCAGCTATCATGTATAAGTTGCTGAATCGAAATTCTGAACGTTCTTGCCTCATATTAAATAGGAAGGAAGGTCGATAATAATAATAAAGAACTAATTTGTTGTTATTTCTTGGAGTCTTGACCTCAAAATAAAAAAAAATAATAACCCTAAAAATAGCGTTAGCGTTAACTAAAATTTGATATAGATCCGTAATTCAGGTTAACAAGTAAATGTTTATATGAGCCCGCATTGGTAGCTACACAATTGTTGTTGCAACGCATAACCGCGTTCAGATTCGATATCACGGACAATCAAAATCGAGTTATCGACTCCAAGTATCAAACCGGCATCGTTGACTTTATGTTGCCCATGGGCTCCAGTAATTGCTTAATACCAAGTGAGCCGTGAGTTCATTCTATTCAAACATATTTAGACAGCTATCAAAAAATCCGCATTCTGTAGCGAACAATGTTTAATGCGATGGCTTCTAAGGCTTAAAATATCCAAGTTTTTTTTACTATTTAAGGTAAGTGAACGAGCTCACAGTCCACCTGGCGTTAAGTGGTTACCGGAGTAGAGAACAGTAGTTGCCTTTGTGTAGCCAACTCCGATAATACCTTCGAGCCAAGCAAAACAAACGGAAACAGTATCGACAAGTCAATTTGAGTTATTTCTTCCTAACAGCATCAAAAAAGATTTGGATGGTAAACTGACCCATCTTGTGTCATCGCATGTAGAGGGATCACTGAACGTTATTACTCTACTTCTGACGGGAAGAGCCACGCCATATTTACACAACGGCATTCTCTATGTCGGCGATGAAGACCACTATGTGAGTTTTTTGTTTTAAATAAGAAAACCATAATTGTCGTAATAGTACCAAAACCTTCTCCACATATAGCCCCGTCCTGTTGGGAAACATTAATTCAAGTTAAAGCATGCGGATAAAGTTAATTCCATAGACACAGCCCACTGAGTTTCTCGCCGGATCTTCTCAGTGAGTCGCGTTTCCGATCCGGCGGTAGATTCTGCGAAGCACTGCTCTTGCTAGGGCCAGTGTTAGCAACACTCCGGGTTTGAGCCCCGAGAGCTCACCTACTCGTTCGGTTACGCTGACATAGCCCCTCAAGGCTATTAGCTTAGGGAGGAATTAACAACAGCTTTTAATATGTGTGTAGTTTATTCATTGATATACTTTATAAGGTTCTCTACGATTGCAATAAAACAATACGATCATATAAGTAACTTACATAGTAATATTATAATAATAAAGTAACACAATATGGTCCCTAAGTTAAAAGTTTGAAAGCTATCTGTTTTGCATTTACGTGTATAGTTTATTGAGGGTTATACGTTCTATGAAAAGCATTTCCCTTTGCTGTCACTCACACGTTTTGATTTGAAGTATGTACACTTGTATTTAATTTCCCTAATTGATTCCACTTACATAAGGCTATGCCACAATATGGCGTACTCTCTCGGAGTCCGGTTGGCCTCCTCGTTTGGTATGGAGGAGAAGAAAACTCGAAGATCAATGTGAACAAGCAATACCCTGGATCCAGATTGAAAACTCCGGCTTTACCTATATGGGTGATTATCATTTTCTGTGTATTTCGTTCGAGTCTAGTATAAAGGTCGATCGATGGATGATTACCTGGATTACCTGGAGGATAGCTGGAAGTGTAAAAATACATAGATAGCATCCGTTACATATTTCTTCAACTTAAAAGTGCACAACGGATAATGCCAGAGTATTTTTTTTTTATTGCTTAGATGTGTGGACAAGCTCACAGCCCACCTGGTTTTAAATGGTTACTGGAGCCCATAGACATCTACAACGTCAATGCGCCACCCACCTTGAGATATAAGTTCTAAGATCTTTTTTTTCTTCTTTTTTTATTGCCGTTGTGGACAGACGAGCATACGGCCCACCTGATGGTGAGTGGTTACCGTCGCCCATGGACTTCAGCAATGATAGGGGCAGAGCCAAGCCGCTGCCTACGATGCCTTCATCATCAACATTCTCTTGCCCTTCTCCCAATCACCTGCGGTCGGCGTAGCATGTTTTCTCCTTCCATACTCCTCTATCACTTACCACTTCTTCACTCACTCAGCTGAATGATCTGACCTGAATGATGCCTTATTTAAACATATTCATAAACAGCAAATATTTCTGAACCCTTTTAGTGCTCAGCTTATTTTTACATTTTTGCAGAAATTGCAAGAGGATTGTTGAAAAAAAGTACCTTAAAAAAACTATAACTTATAAAGAATACAAAAATCAATGCTAAATTCACAGAAAAATCATTTTAAATGGTTAATTTACTTAATATAGTTTTAACTTAAAATGTTACATAGGAGAGCGCTAAAACACGTGCGTAAAAGTTGATACCTAATACCTATAATCAAACTGTGCAATAGTCGGAATTCCGACGCTCCGTTCGTTTTACGCATTAATAGAGAGTCAATCTATCGACGCATAGCACTCAAAATGCTAAATTAAATTATTATTTTTTAGATCACCAGTTGCTCCGGACACTACGGCGTACTATTTAACACAAACCGTGAACTACTGAGGAATTATCATGCTGAAAGACGGTATTTTACATAATAATATGTTTTATTAATTACAAGTTTTAATTCATTTATTGTCACAAAAACAGAATTTTGTGAAGTCTCATTTATGTATTAATCTAAATCTTATATTAATAATACCTGTATTTATCTGTGTGGTTTATGTGTCACCACGGAGACAAAACGTCAGCATGAAATAACCGTCGATAAGTCTGGAGCAGAATTTCAAAAGAACTGAATATTCAATTTAGATTTTTTTTATTGTGCTTGCTAAAATCGGAAATGTGGACAAAGTTTTAGATTTTTGGTGTTGGTATTTTTTTATTGCATACAAGGGTGAATAAGCTTACGGCCCACCTGGTGTTATCGGAGCCCATAGACATCTACAACGTAAATTCCGCCACCCACTTTGATACTTGAAAGTTCTAAAGACTCAGTTATAACAGTACAACGGCTGTCGCACCCTTCAAACCTTAACGCATTACTGCTTCACGGCAGAAATAGGCAGGGTTGTAGTACCTATCCATGCAAACTCACAAGACGTCCAACCACCAGACGTCCTACCATCTTAAATCATATCAAGCGACCGAACAGGCAACAATACTATTAGTTAGTACTTTGATCATAACTATGACCTGAATTTATTGCCCTCGTAGGCAGACAAGCACACGGCCCACCTGATGGTGAGTGGTTACCGTCGCCCACGGACTTCAGCAATACCAGGGGCAGAGCCAAACCGCAGCCTACCAGCTACCGCTGCTGAATAAAAATATAAATCATTTTAGTTTCGACATCCACTACTACACATGCGGCGGATGTCATGTCCTCCTCAACGTGGACACGAGAGCCCATGACGACACCACCGCGGCCATGCGGACTGATGACATCACGGCTACACCTCTGGAGAAACTTATCCTTACCAAGTCAGTGATCAAAACTTTGTTTATTCTTTATTGTACACACAGTTAATACAATACTTTTAGCAACGGCTTAATAATTTAAATAAATAAAAAAATACAAAAGTGGGTAGGAACGATCGACACAGAATATTAAATCTAAGACAAGTGAACGCTGCGCGCGCTTCCAGCAAAAGTGATCCGAGGTGGCATGATGTCCCCGCTGGTCGGTCGGTTGCCCCTCCAGATGACGAGTTGCCCCTCCAGATGACGTCACGAGTCCACGTGANGGAACGATCGACACAGAATATTAAATCTAAGACAAGTGAACGCTGCGCGCGCTTCCAGCAAAAGTGATCCGAGGTGGCATGATGTCCCCGCTGGTCGGTCGGTTGCCCCTCCAGATGACGAGTTGCCCCTCCAGATGACGTCACGAGTCCACGTGAGTGCTCGTCGTCAATGGCTCCGCCCATCGACTTTGACTTAAGAAGGAGTCGCCTCTAATAATACAATAATTGCGAAAGCTTATAAAATGGCGAGCTTAACTCAACAATTGAGCTATCTACCAACTAACCGTTCTTAAAGAGGGAGAGCTTTACATAAGCGGGTAGAAGAGTACATTGTAATTTGGTGGTTAGGTTGTGTTAGGTACGTTGAACTTTTGTTGTCACTAAAGGTAGATTAGTCACTAAACGTATTGTGCACTTAAAAATGTCACATTTTTGTACTTCAGGTGGCAAGACGCCAAGATCACGTGGACTGGACCGGGCCCGAACTTCAATGAAAGCTCCAAATAAAAAATAATAAAAAATAACCAGAACGTAATAAAAAAATAGCTTAATGCAACTTTAACTTATGTATTTGATACGACAATTTGAGGGTCACTGTATCAATATTTTTTTTGTTTGTTATTACAGTAAGCCCTATGTGAGTTTTCATAGCGATTATTGTACAGATCATTTGCCATGTTCAAATTATATTATTACCTGAGGAATGTGGCTGTACAAGTGTAATGTAGTATTCTAATTTTCAGTTTGGTTCTATTAAACGGCCTTGAAAATAATTGTTTTCTTTCAGTTAAGATTCCTCGAATTATTTCTACCGCAAACAAGCTTTCTGGTTCGAAGATTGAAAATGCAGTTTGTTTGCCTTCGCATACAGGCGACCATACAACAAAGCCGAGTCATGATCGACGTACATGGACAACAACGATGTCAGGGGCGTAGCTGAGATCTTCGACCTCATGCCTCAAGTTTGGTGAAAACTCTCTATCATTATGTCTATGAGCCTCTGTGATTACTTAATTAAATGTGAGTCGTGAATTAATCTGCGCAACTAAATCAGTAGTAAAAAGCTTTTCCCAAATATCCGTTGCCAATCACAACCATTACTACCGTAAGGTTTGTTGTAAAATAACTATAATATAAAATTTATCATGTTAAAATTAATACTATTTTCGAATTATCATATGGCAACGCTATTAGTAGGAGCGATGGCAGTAATGGGGACGAGGCGTAACAAAAAGACGGTAGGTAGTCGGAAAAATAAGTGAGAAAAGTGCTGTATTCTGTAGTGAGCGCATACTTAAAAGCTTTACAAGTAGAGTTACAAATAAAGCAATACAGAATTAACTGGACTACCAGGGCCCTGAAACTTTAAGACATATTTTTTTTATGTAAACTAGTGCCATCTTATAGCGGGGGCCCGTAAACTTATATGTTGTTAAAGTTACGGCATTTAATTATTGTATAACTAAACATAGAAAATTAAAAGAGCTCTTTATTTGTTATAGACAAATTGATTAAATTTTTTCAATTTGTGGATTCAGAAAATTTACAAAATCCTTCATTAAGAATAAAATATAAGATAGATTATGTACTGCCATCTATAGGAGCAATGAGAAACTAATCGAAGCGAAGCCATCTAGTGGCAAATTTTTGTTGAGTGCTTGAGTTGCTTCTCTATAACTAATTTATGGGTATTATCTATGTGAACTACTGCAATCTGTGTATGTAGTTTCTGGCTGTTGGAAGCGAAGTTTACCCTACTCTAGTAAAATTTTGAAAGCAACCGCTCTCACTGAAGCCTGTAAACTGTTCGTGAATTATCCAATATTTATACGAGAAGAAAACCCGGCAAGAACGCGTCACTAGAATCACGGGTCATTAACGAATGATCGATGACTCCCATGACAAATAAACTAATAAAAGTGATTTATCAAACTCACGTCAAAAGGAACGAGGATTTTTTCTTTTAGTTTCTCTCGAAAGCTCAGCCGCACCTGTATTAATGTTAGAGAAATAACTTATATTGCTTTGTGGACGTACTTTTAGATTTTCGTTTGGAATACAAGACCTTTTTTCATTTTTTTATTGCTTAGGTTGATGGATGAGCTCACAGCCCACCTGGTGTTAACTGGTTACCGGAGCCCATAGACATCTACCGCATAAATGCCGCCATCCACCTTGAAATGACAGTTCTAAGGTCTCAGTATAGTTACAACGGCTGCCGCGCCCTTCAAACCGAAACGCATTACTGCTTCACGGCAGAAATAGGCAGGGTGGTGGTAACTACCCGTGCGGACTTACAAGAGGTCCTACCACCAGCAAATTATAATTTTGTGGGTTTGATTTCCTACACGATATTATTCCTTCACTATGGAAGTCAATCGTGAACATATCTTGTTAAGTACGTATTTCATTAGAAAAATTGGTATCCGTCTGCGGGATTCGAACACAGGTGCATCACTAGATATGAATGCACCGGACGTCTTATCCTTTAGGCCACGACGACTTCAAAAAGTTCTTTGAGAGTGCAGAGCTTATTACAGAAGGCTAACTGGAATGGTCCCATAAGTTACCCAGCGAATGAATAAAAACACAAGGAGTCCGTAGGGGACAATAAGCACTTAATTTTCGATACGCAATGTTAGATTAGAATCATCACTTCCAATGGGTGTGGTAAACTGCGCCTAAGGGATTCACTGGCGAATGGTGAGCAGTTTTGTACCAGCGTACTAGAATCGCCAACTGATATGGTGTGTGTCTGATGTATTATTTATCACTGGTGGTAGGACCTCTTGGGAGTCCGCACGGGTAGGTACCACCACCCCGCCTATTTCCGCCGTGAAGCAGTAATGCGTTTCGGTTCGAAGGGTGGGGTAGCCGTTGTAACTATACTGCGACCTTAGAACTTGTATCTCGAGGTGGGTGGCGCATTTACGTTGTAGATGTCTATGGGCTCCAGTAACCACTTAACACCAGGTGGGCTGTGAGCTCGTCCATCCATCTAAGCAATAAAAAAAAAATTTCAACTACTGGGGTTCATAGACTTAACGGCCTGAACGCCGCCATCAACATGAGACACAAATATAGATCACCTTGTAGTGACCCTTCTAACCGGAACTCAATACTACTTGGCCCAATAATAATTCCTGCCGTCTTCTCAGGCGAGGCAGTGCTTAATACACATAAATAATAATAAAACTTTATTTAATTCCATGCATAGTACACATTAAATGATAACAATTAATTGGTAACTTCATAATTCAACTAGCTTTTGCCCGCGACTTCGTCCGTTTGGAATGTTACTTTACATAACGCCTTCCTCAGTAAATGGGCAATCTAATATTGAAAGAATTTTTCAAATCGGACCATTAGTTCCTGAGATTAGCGCGTTCAAACAAACAAACAAACTCTTCAGCTTTATAATATTAGTAATATTATATAGTATAGATGATAGATGAATTTGATTTCTAATTATAAATTCTATTTTGTAATTATTATATTTTATTTATTATATGTTTTAATTATCCATTACCTAATTATTTAATGTATGGACTCCGTTTGGGTAAAAGCCTCCCCCAAGGAATGCCATCCTTCTCTGTCCTTAGCTCTGTCAAGCCAACTTCGACCCACGCACGCTACAATTTCGTCTGCCCATCTGGCCCTTGGTCGACCTCTTGATCTGGTGCCTTGCACTTTATTGACCGTAGAGTCCATCTATCGTCCTTGTGACGGGCTACGTGGCTCGCCCACCTCAATTAAGCCTTCATTGCAAAGGTTAAGGCATCGCATACTTTTGTCTTCTTTAATGTCAATATTTTTAACCTTATCCTTCAGTTTTATACCTCGGCAACTTCTTTTCATTCTTCTCTGGGTAGTCTGAATTTTGTTATAATAATAATAATTACTCGCCAATAATGAAATAATTTACTACCCAATAATAAAAAGAATGAAAATCGGCACAATGGAACATAATAATATATTCATTTTATTTTTAATACGAGGCCGTAAATACGCACAATATAAATCGTGCGTAAAAACATTAATTTACAAATTGTAACTACACTCTTAACTAACCAGACCCAGATTCAAACATCCAAAGCTTATAATCGTCACAGGTCCATGCATCATCCACAAATCTCGTTCAAAATATCGGACAATAGGCCAAATAGGCTGCTCGAAGCAATAAATCACCGGCCGCCCCGTAGTGCTTCGATCCGGGAATTTGTCTATAAAGCCCGGGGCACAACAATAGCTAATAGCGCGGCCACTGTCTTAATTCAGAACAGGGTAAGGCATAGAAGAGTATATTGTATGACACTCATTTTAGTACAGAGTGATTCAGAAAATGTGTGTTGTAGTGCTATTATAATTACTACGAGTATTATGTACACATAATAGATAGGTATACAAAGATTTACCGTTTTCTTTGGTATCTGCCAACAGTCGACTTAATTATAACACGTTTTTTTAAGGTTTAATCGCCCGTTTTTTATTCTTATTCTATAATTGCTGTCGCTTCGATTACTTTAAATTAAATATTGCGCTATCAATCGCTTGATTTTCTCTAAAAAAAAGATCTCACTGGTCAGAGTAACGCCATATATCGTCGAATAACCGAAGAATATCAAAGGATTTAGTAACATCTAGAACGCTCGAAAAGTACAGCGCCATCTATTGTCAAATAGCGGAAACACACACTGAAGGTACTCGACTTGTGAGGAATATTCTCGCTGATTCTAGGGATGCCGTATCGACCATAAAAGCGTTGCAGAGATGGCACGCACTTAGTTAGTAATCGGAGCTACTCGAAGCGACACAGCAAACGGATCACCTGAGGCGAAGCGGAAGAAGTGAATTAAGAATTTTAAAGTGTTCTGTGAGTGTTCTGAGTGATAAATACAGTTTTAATTTGTAATTCGGTAGAATTTTATATATATATCCCGAGCCACAGCGCGTAACAGTATCTTAGAGTCTGGCAGTTTATTTGACTTGGCTTTTATCTTCACGGTAACAGGAACTCAGATGTTAGATAAAATAATACACGCAAGATTAAACTGTAAAAGTAATTTTAGATTTATTTATGTTTTCATCATTCACAAGATACTTTTTTCCTTACCTATTCGCTGTTAACCTAAGGGGCTATTCTAGTTTGGCACACACGGATAGGTGAGCTCACGGGCTCAACCTGAGAAAATTTGCTAACCAGCCTTAGGAAGAGCAGCGCTTCTTAGAATCTACTACCGAAAAGTATAAGGCCATTTTTGTAAGCTTTGTTTTTGTTTCGCCAGTTTTTTCAGGACTATGGCTATTTTTAAAACTGATGTAAGAGTGTAAATTGATCTCAAAAGTTATGTGATACTTGTGGTGCAATTTTGAATTTTACACGGAGGCAGCAGCGTGGCTATTACTTTGGCAGTAACCATATTTATGAGCGATGGTTACTGTTTGACTTGACTCGGTGGTGCAGTAGGTAGCACCCCTGACTGTTGCGCCGAAGGTCGTAGGTTCGATTCCCACATTTGTTTTTTATCTAAGTGTTTACTATCTATATACGTAACTATAGACTTAAACGCATATAAGTATGTTTGTCAGTTTCTGGTAGGTACCCTTAACACAGGGAATCCTGAATTGGGACCGGATGATTGCGCGTGATTTGTTCCTTATTATTATTACTTCATTATTATACGCGTCGTATCTGCAAACGAAAAAAAAACACGTGTGGCACTCGGGGACTGCCGCTGTAAAGCTTTTGCATAGCAT